GGGGTCGCCACAGCAGATCATCTTCCTCCAACTCACCATATCCCTACCACACTCCACTGTAACACCAACCCTCTGCATGCCTTCCTTCCTTCCTTCCTTCCTTCCTTCCTTCCTTCCTTCCTTCCTTCCTTCCTTCCTTCCTTCCTTCCTTCCATGAGCCTCCTCTGTGGTCTTCCCCTTTTCCTTCTGCCTGGCAGCTCCATCTTCAGCATCATATTTGTCTTGCCTGCCAGCACGAAAGTTTGCTTTCTTTTCCTTAACCCTGGAGAACCCATGGGGTCAGAGCCGACCCCATTGGTTTCCTAGGGAAACCATGGGGTCAAATTTGACCCCATGGTTTCTCCAGGGCTAAAGTCCTGCTTTTTCTCTAATCGATGGTCAACATTTTGGATGTTTCTTCTTGCTCTACGTCTCTTCCTTACCTCAGGGTAGACCTTGACAGATACTCCAGCTTTTTCTCAGTTTTTCTGGCAGATTTCTTGCAACATTTATACTCATCTTAAGTGGAGGGAATTTCAAATGAATTCAAATCTGCAGCAAAAACACTGTGACCTGCTGTACCTTTCCAAAAACCCTTTAAATCACGCATCAAAATTCAGCTTCTGTGTTGATGACTAAATAGTTTCCACAAGACACATATAGGTGTCTTTCCTCTGCATCCATATATCCTTACTCTTGTTCCTCTCAACTTCCATAAATATGTTTTCCAAAATTTAAATTATTGGCTTGCACCTGTGGCCACAGAACACAATTTAAACTATACTGCACATGAAAGTTCTTTATTTTGTTCACAAAGACATGCCCTACTAATATTTGCTCAAACTGTGGACAGTTTTACCAAAACGAGGCAAGGATTTGAAAATCGTCTAGCAGTATCGCTCTGTAGCGCCCTCCAGCTGTAGCTCCAGGTACTCTGAAGTGGATCGCTTTCTCACAAAGACACAGTTGAGTCCAGTCGGCCTGCCACAACCAGACCATGACACAAAAGGTCTAAGTGGGAGCGCTAGATGCTAGAGAGCCTGACTTTGCTCTTTCATGCTAACACGGATTGATCTTTCAGTCGTTGTCCGTCCTACACAGCTGCCATGAACATACGCGAGTTTTGAAAGGGAGTCATATTTTACGTATAAATATACATTACAGAGAAAGAGGCCAAGATAGGAGGGAGAGAGAGAGACGCCTCTTTTAAAGCTAAGCCTTGGGGCTGAGAACTCTCTGAAGAACTGGAATCAGACATGCACAATCAGTTCCCCTCTTCAAATCTCCTTTGCAGGCCTATCTACTTGAACAGGCTTCTCTTAATTACTTTCTCTATCACTTAGGCGAGCCGTGGCTGGGACGCGGAGCAGCAGCGTCTCTGCCAGAGACATTTGGCTGGTTTGAACCCATATTTTTATAGGCCTATCTTCTTTCTCACAAGCCTGTCCCACACCTTCTCCCCGCACCACCACCACAACCGCCGCAGCCACCGCCACCTTTCTTCCCTCCTTGCCTTGCTTTCATTGCACGCTGCTCTTGTCTTCCCGTGGCTCTCCCCTATTCCAAATATCTCCAGGGTGTCAGTTGCGTCATGTGACTGGTGCGCTTGTGATTACAGCAGTTGGCAGACGTGCTAATCTATGAGGAAGAACCCAAAATATCTGGAGAAAAAAATGACAGCATGTAAAAGAAGCATAAGGTCAGTATGGAGATTAGTGTAGAGCGAGAACACGGTAAAGACAACTCAGGGTTGACACTGAAACCCGAATTCCCTCCTCTTTCAAATCTCTCCGCCTGTCTTCCTGTCTGTCTGAACCGCTCTCAGGGGCTTGAGGCCAAACTTTGGACCCCCTCCTCTCTTCCTCTCTCATGCTCCTGCCTGTCACATTGGCTTGCTCCCCTCACTCTGCTCACTTCCCTGTGTCCTCCTTCTTCTTCTTCTCCTTCTTCGATTTTTTTTCCCTTCTCTTTTTGTCTGGCGTCTGGTCCACTAGAGCTGTATTTAATTAGTTTCTGTTGGGTTAATTAGGGGCTAAAGTTAGGGGGTCGGACCAGAACAAAAGCGGGTCAGGCTGGACGGATGCAGGTGCTCAGGAGTGGTTGCCAGATTCCACCGTTCAGATTAAGATGGCCTTGAATTGTCTGGAGTATTGGAGAGCAGGCGAGCCACTAGTAAATCGCAAGGAGGGGAGGTTTTCCACCTCACACGGGACGGTGGGCTCCATATGTACCCACGGCAGCATCACCGTTCTTGTTTATATGAATTTCAGCATCATTTCTACGCGTGTGCCACGCCGGCATTCATCACAGAGTTGGTCCAATGTATGGCGCGTGCAAATGATGTCCTCGCCAGTCTGTTGTATGTTCTCATTCATATCACTGCCCGCCACCATGTGCCCCCCACCCCCAACCCTTTTTTCCCCCAGCAGTGCCAGCTATACCCTGCTCCTTTGGCTTGCGTGGAATTAGAAGAAAAATATGTGAGGAGGACATCAAATGACCAAACCAAGCAAGTGAAGCATACATAAAATGGGCAGCAGCAGCCTTTGAAGTGTACATCAGTGGCCCGAGTGAAGTGATCACATAAATTAAACGCATAAAGACAGCAGTGTGGATGTGAGTATAGACTGCTGCGCTTTCATCTCACCTGTTTACTAACTGTTCTTTTTGGCACACTGTTTGAAACTCACACATGCTGTATGCAACTCATACATTGCAAAAGTAAAAGAAAGACACCATTCGACTTTTTTGAAAGGGAAGGAGAGGAGAAACGAGAGGAGAGGGATCTCTGGCATGGCTGGAGCCCCTCAGTGTGTGAGGGTCCTGGGGCCCTTTAGACAGGCGCCAGCCCAGCAGGGAAGCAGAGACAATCACGCAGCACCAGATTCAATGCACAGAGATTGAGGGATGGGAGAGAGATGAGGAGTCACAGAGGGGTAGATTGAAGGGGGAGCGGGACAAAGAGGACAGCTGAGAAAGGTGGAGGACACGACAAGGAGATGAGTGGGAAGAGTCCAGGTAGAAATCGAAGGAGCGCAGAGCAAACAAGCTAAAAAGAATTGGATGGAGAAGGGGAGAATGACAGCGCAGATCAAGAGGAGAAGTAAAAGGAAGAAAGAGCGAGCCTGACAGAGATAGCATATATTCCCTCTGTAACAGTCTTTATCACCAGCCCAGATCGTGGCGT